ACAGCCCTAGTCGCCCCGAAAACTGCAGTTTTTACTGGCTTCACTGCGATTGCGCCTCTGGGGAGGAGGCGGATCATGCCACAGCGCGCGGCTTCATGTATCTTCGCACGACGGTGGAGAATGACGCGGACTCGGGTTGACTCTCGTAGTGGGGGCGAGGCTTCCTGTGCAGAGGTGAAAAGATTACTTTTGAAGAGGAAGCAGAAGAAACTGGTTCATGTCTTTTTCTTTTTATTGAGCCTCTGGTAGGTTTGCGGCGATTTTGCATTGTTGTGCTCTGCTGGTGTTTTGTGTGTCTGTGTGCCGCATTTTTTTGCCTCAAAAGAAATGTGCTTGCTGCATTTTTCTCTCCTCTTGTGATTTCCCTCTTCTGCTTTTGTTTGTTTGTTTGTTTTTTTGTTTGTGTGTTTCTGTGGGTCGTGTCTCCGCGCGGCAGTGGAGGGCTACTTTGCAGCCGCCGTGTCGCATGGCGTTGTCTGCTGAGCAGGCCGTCAGGTCTCCCTTCGTGTTTGTGGAGCAGCTGCACGAGGGGCGGCCGTACGAGTCCATCACGTTTCCGGACGCCTTTGAGGTTTTGCCGAACAGCTGGCAGTACAATAACGCCGTGGGCGCCGCGTCAGGCGCGACCCCGTCAATGCCGTCGGGTGCCTCAAGTCCCCCCCACAACAGCAGCGCATGCGGTTCGTCGCCGAGTAGCGATGGGCAGCGCCTGCTGGTGCTCCGTGGCCTGCACGAGGAGCAGCGCCTGCAGCTGGGGCGCCGGGTGCAGGAAAGAAGAGCGCTGCAAATGAGGTCAGGGCAGGCAACCCTCGACACGTGCTTTCGCCGGCCTTGTGCGGCGAGTGTGGTGGCGAGAGAACTGAGCGCAGAGGGGCGGCGGCGCGAGGAGACGCGGGATGCACCGCACATTTTGTGGGTAACGAAAAACAGGACGTTAACCGCTTTTTACGCCGAGCAGCGGCGCCGGTGTTTGCTCTCTATGGCGTCACGGCTACAGGAGCGGATGGAGCTGGAGCACTACGCCGGCACCGCGCGGGACAAACTGCGGCTCTCTCAAAACAAGCGCCTCTGGACTTCCGTTGACGAAGACGGGGGTTCAATTTTTGCTCCTGTTGCCGCTGACGAGTGTGACGTGGAGGGCGGGTCGATGCCTAGTGCGTTTATGTAGAAGGAAGGAAGGAAGGAAGAGAGCGAGAGCGCGTCTGGGGCGGGGTGGAAGGGGGCAGCGTGCGGACTTTTTCCTGCCTCGCCCTCTTATGATGTATGTCATGCGTTTCTTAGCAATTCGAAGGAAATGTTTGCGAGGCAGCGGCAACGGTGGATGTTTTTATGTTTATTGTTTGTGTAGCTGTCTTGTGCTGCTTTTGTGCCTGCTTCTTTTTTATTTTTATTCTTATTTTTTATCTTATGCCTTGCGTGGCTGCACGGACGCAGACGGGAAGTCGGCGAAGACGCGGAAGCCCCAATTGCGGCGTGGGACTCTTTTGCCTGCCCCCACACAATGTCTGGCTCGGGACGCTTAGGGCGCGGCTGCCTCGGTGCACCGTCGGGGTGTTGGACGGCGTCGCGGCGAGGTGGATGCCGGCGGTGCGCCGGGCGACGCAGTCGCTGACTTGCAAGCGAACAAAACTCCCGCCCCCACGCGTAAGTGAACGTCATGGAGTTGTGCCAAATATATTGGGGGAGGGGAGGGGGGGGCGACACACGGAGGCGCCTTTGCCGACAGTCCGGCGGGTTAGCGAAATGCCCGTCGCTGTTGTGTTCTCTTTGCCGGGCACCCTTCTTTGACGCCGTGCCTGCGCCTCTGCGTCAGCGGGTTCAACGTCTGCCCTCCCCACGCACGCGTTGGGCGGCGCCTCTTCACTCCCGGGGGATGGAATGCGCCGAAGTGGGGTTGTAAACTTCAATGGGCGTCGATCGCTCCGTGGCCTTGGGGGCGCTGCACACGCCCATGCACACTGTGTGGGTGGCTTCATTGGCGCAGCTGTGCCTCTCTTCTTGAATTGGACTTGTGCTTTTGCCTTTGTTTTGCTCTTTTTTCTGCGTGTCGTGCCCCCTCCTAGGCCTCGCCTTCTCATCTCCTCCTCGTCGTCGTCTGCAGCAGTACGTAGGTGGGGGCGGAGAGTGTGTCTGGGCGCGTGCGCGTGGGTGAGAGGCCGGCGCAATGATCCCTGTCAAGGTAAAGTACTTTGAGGAGGGTCCGTCGTGGGCGGAGAAGCGCTCCGCTGCGCCATCGACGGCGGCAGTGGTGGCAGGAGCGACAGCGACGACAGGAGCGGCGACGTCGGCGTCCGCGGCGCGGTCCTTCTCCGTGAGCAGCATTGACCTCAGCGGGGGGCTCTCCTCGCTGGGAGAGATGGAGAGCTTCAGCAACGCCCTGGCCGCCGCGTCGCCGTCGTTTGTTTTTGTCCACAATGCCACGCTGGTGGCGCGGCAGCAGATGATGCAGTCGTCTTACGTGCGCAAGATGTACGGCATCACCGATCTTGTGCGCTACGAGCCGCGGGAGGGGGCTGAGAGAGGCAGTCTCGCGCTCGTGCGCATCGGCGTGTGCTGCGAGAGCGTCGATAACGCCGTCAAGCTGCTCGACAACAGCCACGGCGGTGGCGGGTTTGCCCGCTTCTTCATGACGCTGCATGTACGCTCCTTCGCCGGCGCCTCGATGACACTCGCCGCCCTGTACATCGACCCCACCGCCATGCTCTGGCAACGCGTGGCGGTTTGCACGAGCCTTTTCCCGCAGCTTGCCAGCGCGGAGCTCCTCCTGCTCGTCTCCAACTTGTTTTCCTCGCCGACGGGCGTGCTGGCGGCGATGAGTGCGGAACTGCGCGCCGTGTGCGCGGCGCAGGGCTTCGTCGACGCCGCGGAGGAGGCGGGGGAGAGGGCCGGCGGGGGCCCGCAGGAGTGTTCCGTCTGGGTCAAGTCGTCGAGGTTCGCCGTGGCGCACCTCACGCACGAGGCGGCGAAGGCGACGCCGGCCATCACCACCGTCACGTTGTCGTCCCGCGGTGCGACGACGATTGCCATTCCGCAGCCCCGCAGCGCGAAGAGCGGGAACCCGCGTGGCTCTCCGGCGTCGACGGCGAGTCCGGCCATCATGACGGACCCCGCCATTTTGAGCGCCGAGGCGGCGGGAAAAGGGGTCACGACGGCGGCAAAGAGCGGGGGGAACGTCTTTATTGAACGGCTTTTGCAACAGCAACAACTGCAGCAACAGTTGCATCAGCAGCAGCAGCAGCAGCAGCAGCAGCAGCAGCCGGCGCCACGCTGGCGGACGTCGCACTCGTACACGTTGAAGAACAATGAGAAGTTAAGCAGTCATGAATTGGCGTTTGATGTTTCGGCGCACTTCTCTTCTGTGTCTGAGGCGGTGGAGGCGTTGAACAGCAGGGCGATTTACTGGCCCGCGGACTACTGCGTGGTGCACAACGTTATCCTTGCAAGCGACAACGTTGGTCAGGGGGACAAGCGTGCAATGCTCCGCCGCTATGCCCGCGAGTACAAGAACAGCGCGGCCCTGCTCTCGCATATGTTTTTACCGGGTGTTAACGTAACGCCCTCCACCACCGCCAACGCCACCGGCAGCCTTGTCCACGGCGCCGCACAAGAGGTGGCCACAGAAAAGGCGCCGTGGTTGAAGCGCGTGGTCGCCATGTCAAGCCACGCAACCGGCGATAACAACGGCGGGGAGCTTCCCTCGTTCCTCCCCGCCGCACGGGCACTGAAGCGGGAGGAGGAGCTGCGGAGCCGCAGCTGGGACCCCTCGTGGTGCACCGTCGTCTATCAGGTGACGCCGCGCGAGATGAAGTTCAACATTACCTCCGCCGTTGGGCTCGGCAAAGACAACCTGCAAGAGGCCATTCAGTGGCTCAACCTGTGCTCACAGCCGAAGGCAAAGCTCATCCATGGAAAGGAGAACCCGCTGCGGAACTACGCGTACGACTACGCCCTTTTGTTCTCCCCGGAGCTCCAGGGCTACTACCTTATCGCGGCCACCCATGTGCCATGCGACATTGTGGCTTGCCGTGCGGCCGCATGAGCAGCCTCTGGCGGTGGGAATGATACCGTCTGCTGATGAACGAAAAACAAAGAAAGAAAAAGAAGGGAAACGGAAAGCAAAACTGAACACAAGAAAAACAAAACACGAAAAAAACAAGGAGAAACTGCAACAAACAAAAAAAAAGACGAGGGGAATGAAGGGGATGTACGTCTTCTCCAGCGAAGAAACGTGTTCCAAGCAGGTGTACACAGTCTCAGATGCAATGCCATGAAGCGTTACTGGCCCTGCGTGCTTGTATACATATACATCCTGGCTATGCTGATGTCATTACGTTTTTTTTTCCCGCCTCTTCTTATTCCTTCCTGCTTGGTATCCAGGAAATAACGAGCATTCCGTTGATCTCTGTATCGATACATTTATACGCGGTTGGGCCGACCGCAGAGTGGACCTGGTTCACTTGGGTTTTTTTCTGCGGGGACTGGCAACAGCTAGAAGTAGCGAGACTCGCGTGTGCCTCGCTGCCTCTGCGACAGCGTGGATAAAGTGCGGCAGCAGCAACAGCAAGAGTGGTTGGCCGCCCGCTGGCCGCACATGTGTGCGACTGCGCGGGGTTAAATTTGGACAAAGCTGCCAATAGTGCCATCGCGGTGTGAAATGGATACTACCGATGTCTACCGTTTGCGCCTCGCTGCTGTTGAGCGGGCGGAGCGTCTTTTAGAGCGCCACGAGGCTGAGCTGGCGGCGCGGGAGCAGCTACTGGAGCGGGCACTTGCCGAGGGGATGCATCCGTCCCAGGACGACTGGCGGCAGCGTGTCGAGGCGGCCCTCTGTGGGGTTCGCAAGCGCGGCGAGGTTCATTATGGCGGCGGTACTAGTGGTGGCAGCGGCCACACGGCAACGGCCGTGCTAAAGGAGTGGGAGGATCTCATCGCGCAATTAGAGAAGCACGCGGCACAGTGGCGCCGCAAAGACGCGGAACTCACCGCTCGTGAGCGAGATGTGGCGCAGCGTGAAGCGGCGCTCGAAGAGGGGCAACAATGTGTGCAGAAGGAGAGTGAGCGCCTCACGAAGTCACAGGCGGCTCTCTCTGCAATGCGTGTTGCTGTGGAGCAGCGCACGCGTGACCTCAACGTGCGTGAGTCGGAGCTGTTGGCAGGTCACGGCCGGAGCATGGAGGAGGAAGAGCGGTACAAGGCGGCTCGGGTCGCACTGCAGCAGAGGGAGACGCAACTGACGTCGGACCAGGAGCGGTGCAACCGACTTCTTGAGGCGCTGTGTGAGCTGTACGCGCGGCTGGCGTTGCTCTTCTAATCTCACACGCGGAGCCTGCGAGCAGTGAAGCAAGACTGCCCGTTTCCTGGTGGATATATATATCTTAATAGTGGCTCATGGGTGTTCTCGCCTTCTCTCTCTCTCTCTCTCTCTCCCTGAATGTGTGTGTGTGTGTGTTGCTTATTGATCCTTTGCATTTTTTTTCTTTTGGCGGGGGGTCACCACACGGCCGACGGCACCATTCGCTTTTCTTTGTTTTGTTTTTTTTATCCCTCTTTTTTTTTCTGTATTCTCCTCCTCTCTTCCTCTGTCTTGGCGAGCGTGTGACCTCCGCTCCCCCCCCTTGAGCCGCGCCATCTCCTCTGCGTGGGCAGCCACGAGCAGTGCATGGAGGGGATTGACTGGCCGCCGCGGCTGCTGCTGGTCCTGCGGCGCCACTTGGAGCAGTTGGAGCACCCCGAATTCCCGCGGACCCCGCCACTCACCACCGCCGCCGCCCAACAGACCGTCCTGTCGTTTCTTCTTGACGCGCACGAATGCGCCAAGCAGCTCTCGAAGTTGTCGGAGCCCTTCGTCGACTGCTGCCAGAATCTTGTGCTGGACACCATCGAGCAGTGCTGCGCCTCTTCGTTCCTCTCGTCGAGGGAGCGACGGGTCATCAATCTTTTGGCGGTGCAGCGGGAGAAGCGGTCGGAGGGGCGGCTCGGGCAGAAACGACGCCACAGCGAGAAGGCCGCCGCTGCACCAGCCACATCCTCGCATAAGTGTGCGGCGGTGTTGCCTTTGGAGTACCTCCTGCGCTTCTTCCTGGCACTGCCGTCTATTTTGGCGCACTACGACAAACTTGGCGGCGCCACCATGCCGGCATCGTACAAGCAGCCCCTGTGGGACTACGTGAACGCCATTCTCAGCATCATGAAAGGTATGGAGTTTGTTGACCCCGCCGCGTATGTCCTTTTGAAATGAAGTACCGTATATATATATATATATGCGTCTGTCTCCATGTGTGTGGTTGCGTCGCCCTGCGTTTCCTCCTTGACCACCCAGAGTTTGTCGTTTGATGCGAATCTTTCCCCGTTGGCTCCAACCCAGTGAAAGTGTCGGCACACCCTCGGTTTCGTGTCGGCTCCGCAGGAGTGCAACTGCAAAACCCCCGTTTAATCACCAGATGAAATATTTCTTGTTTGTTTTTGTTTCCATTCCGTTTTTTTTTCCCCCTTCGCATGCAAGCTGCGGCCTGTGGGTGGAAATACCATGAGCCTGGAGCCCGGCAACGCATGTAGTCACTGCACATTTATCAATACACCTGGCCGGGTACGTTGTGCCATGTGCTTTCGCAATATTCGAAAAAGGACCAGTGACGGTGCCACAGAATCCAGGACCGAATCGCGTCCGTCGCATCCACAAAATAACGTGCAACCGGAAGAGCCCAAAATGGACTCTGTGCCGACGCTCTTTTCCACGGCGGCCGGCCAGCCCGTTGCTGTGTCGGAGACCGCGCTGCAGGCCGCAAGGGAGCGACTGGACGCGGAAGACACACAGATGCCACCGAAGGGTGACGCCGGAGGAGTGACCGTGCCGACGCTCTTTTCCACGGCGGCCGGCCAGCCCGTTGCTGTGTCGGAGACCGCGCTGCAGGCCGCAAGGGAGCGACTGGACGCCGATAACTGTACAACCTCGTCGAGTGGTAGCGAGAACAGTGCTGGTGCAGCGGTGCAGTCTTCTTCCGCGGCTACCCCTTCCTTTGCGGGTCCGCGACGAGGTCGCTTTGTGGTTCCTTTTGCCCGGGCACCACGGCCAGCTCAAGCGATGCAGGCACGTCTTCGTGAAGATGCGCCTGCGCGGAGGGAAATAAAACATTTGTCTTTTGATGTATTTACGTACCGTTCCTTGGCCATGTCGTCTCTTCCGTCGAGTGAAGAAATTATGCAAGCTGGTTTCATATTGAGGACTATGGGATGCTCTCAAGAACTGTTGCAACTTCTGGGGCTAACCTCTGAAGATGACTCCGTGCCAGCCAGGTCTTTCCATAGGGCCTTGGTGAGGCTTGGGGCCGACGCGGACGCCTGTTCGGAGCTGTGGTCTCGGCAGATGCTGCAATCCACGCTGTTGAAGCTGCGTGGGTTGTCGCTCTACGCTACTCCACCTCTCCCTGTCTTCTCCGTATCCCACGCCCTACTTTACCTCTGCTTCAAGTACAACCGGGAGTTTGTGGATGCGGTGAGGCCGGCGCTGCGTGTCGTGACGGAGGGGGATGTTTCAGCGTCGTCGTTGATGGTAGTCAGCGTTGTGAGCCTGTCGCTTGAGGAACGTCTGGCGCCACACACGTCTGTGGCTGTGGTGACCGACGGCTGCTACAACGTGAAGGTGTCCCTTGATATCCCGCTGACGCATCTCGTGCGGGAAGGGATCCTTCGCCGCGGGCACAAATTGCTGGTGTGTGGCGCAAAGATGCTTCTGAAGAATTTCTGCTCCCCGCTGGAGTGCAGTGATGCGGTAGTGCTGTCGATTAGTTACAACTGTACGCGACCGGTGGACCCGACGGCGGCTCTCGGTTTGTACCACACAACTCCCCCTGTTGTCTCCTCGGCGGCTGTCCACCCTCTTGGCGGGCTCGTGCCCTCCCTACGCGGCGTCGTGGAGCGGATTCTCCCGCCCATCTTCATTGAACAGCCGACTGGCAACGGCGAGTCTGCCGGGGCCGCTGCGAAGGTCGTGCGGAACCACCTCGCGCAGCTAAAGCGACTTGAGGCCGTTGTGCGTGAGGGCGCAGCGCCGTCGGAGTCGACGAACAACCGCCGTCTTGTGCGGCTGACCTCACTCGTGCTGACGTGTGCGAAGAGGGAGGATGTGGTGGTGCAGCTCTGGGAGGACTGCGCCGAGGGGTGCGTGGCGGAGTCGCTGGAGGAGTGCGGCTGCGAGTTTCCACCGGAAGGGTCCACCGTCGTCATGTTTGCCCTCACGCCGTCCCGGAGCCGACCTTCCCACCCCTTCCAAAACGCCAAAGTCCTCTACACACGCGCCCGCCTTGACTACAGGCAGCTGGCCCCACCCAATGGATTTGTGCGGCCGCTGCGGCGCGGCATTTCCGACGTGGACCCCTCGACACCGGCAGGGGTGGCGACGGACTTTGCTGGCCTCTTCCTGGCATCCGCAAAGAACGAGGCGGTGACCTCGTTCGTTGTCGCCCTCTTGGAGGATGACGCGACGGCGGCGCCTTCGTTCTGCGTCATGGATGTGCCGTGCGCCACCGCCGTCAAGGAGATTGCACTCACGATGCCCACAACCCCCTTCACACCAGTTATTGTGCAAAATTCATCATTTATTCGCTTTGCAGCTGATGACTTGGGGCCGGACTGCCTGCACGTTTTGGCAAATGAGTTTACGAAGGTCTTACAAAGACCCGCTTCCTCGCAGCTTCGCACGGTTGTTGCCGCCCTCGAATCTCTTCGGGAGAGGACCGCGGCACGTAAGAGTGTCACGGCTCGTGGAGAGGAGATATTGCGGCTACGACACCTGAGTGGTGAGGCACGAACAGATGTGCGTCGTTTCTTGGGCGAACTCAATGGCCGCGATGTTCCTCTCGCAGCCGCCGCTGGAAGCCCGTCGCGTCTGCCATATTACATGCGCACGGAGAAGCAGGGGCCCATTTCGAAAGGTGTTGTTATCCCGTCACCGAGTGGGAGGCCTCAGATGGAGCGGGAGCAGAAGAAGCCGGTGGCCACGCCGCAAGCTGTTCCGCAGCGCGGAGGCCGATCCCATATTTTTGGGAACATCATTGAGCTGCGTCTGCTTCGTTCGTTTGATTCTGGTCGCCGTGAATCTGTTCTGCTGCTTAGCGCCCCGTCGGGCCCGGAGCTTGCCCCTGTTGGGCCTACGGGTCCAGGGGAAACACTCCTCCCAGACTCGATTTCCTTTGAGGTTGTCATTCAGGTCGGGGCCGTCGCGGCCCAACACGTGAAGGCGACGATGCACAGCCCGGCGGTGTTCAGCGGCATGCTGGAGCAGAGGCTCGCCATGCGGGGTGCCCGCGCGATGGCGGTGGATGAGGGGCGTGTCGACTACTTCATGCAGCGGACGAAAATGCTCGAGTCGTGGCAGCGCACCGCTGAGGAGGGCTGGTGGTGGTTTCTCGCCCTTTCACACGTCGTCACGGCTGACGCGCCTCAGCCCGAGACGGAGGGAGCGGCGCTGCTGTGGCTCGTGGGTGAGTGGAAGACGCTGCTCGACATGCTGAGCGAGGGCCTGCGGGACAGCCTCTTCATGTTCAGCGTTGACGCGGCCGGGGAGGTGACCCGCGCCGTCTTCATCAAAGAAAACTGCTCCCTCTGCGATCTCATGCGGGAGTGATGGGCAGGCGGGCAGGCAGGCGGCGTAATACAGAAACAAAAACCAAAAATAAAACATTTATGTGTTTTGCTTCCTTTTTTTTTACTCTGCTTGGTTTTATGAATAGACAGTTCCCAGCCGCCCGCGAGGCGGCTTTTTTTGTTTTTGTTTTTTGTTTCGTAGTTTTACTGCGTGGTGCGTCCTTGTTGCGCCCAATTCGCGTGCATTTCTGCTTTTTTTTTTTGCGAGGGTTCGTGCTGCTCACGCTGGAAAAAGCACCTCGACACTGGCAGAGGGCGTTGCGGACTACACGCGTGCTTTTGTGTGTGTGGGACTGTGAAGCCGCCTCCTCCGCAACACCGGCAGAGCGAGGAGACACCGACTCAGACGCGGGCGCACAATTGCGTATAATCATACATATAATCATACATAAATACAAATATAGAATTTTTTTTTAAAGAAAGACAGGCAAACAGAGGCTGCAGGGCACACACACACACACACACAAAGAAACGCGAAGAAGCAAACAAACAAAAAAAGAACGGCGACAACAACGCCCATGGGCACCGAGCCAGTTGTTCAGCTGCTGGAGATAGAGCTACTCGGGGATAATCCCGCCTCATACACGCAGGCGATGCACTGGCGTATGCGAATAGAGGCCTTGCAGGCTTTGGAGGACCCCATCTCGGTGGCGTTTGTCTGGGTGGGCAGCGCATCCTCGGCGGACTACGACCAGGTGCTAGACTCTTTTGACGTTGGCCCACTTGAGAAGGGCACCACGGAGCTGACGATGGAGTGTGACCCGCCACAGGTTGAGTTAGTCCCTCCGCATGAAGTGCTAGGCGTGACCATTCTTGTCATCTCATTTCAATATCGCGGGCAGGAGTTTCTTCGGGTTGGCTACTACACACAGGTGGCGTACTTCGACGCGTACCTCAACAAGTGCCCGCCGGAGTTGCCACAAGGGGACCTCTTGGGGCGCTTCATCGCAATGCCGCGGCCAACAGTCACGGTGACGCCCATCGCCTGGGATGAGGCGCTGCCGGAGTGAGCGCGGTGGAAAGTCGACTGCGCAAGGGAGGGGTGTGTAACCCACGAGAAGGAGCGAGAGAGAGCGAGAGGGAAAGAGAGGGATAGTGAAGGAGGAAGGGGAGGAAGATGAAAAACATCAAAACAACAGGTGGAATGCAGGTGGGTGGAGTTTGTTTGCCGTTTCCTTTGCTTCCGCTTCACCCGTTCGCCGCCCCCACCGTTGTCTGCGCATGGGGTCTGTGGGCATTTCTTCCTCCACCAGCCACCACGCCGCCGCAGTGTGGGAGGGTGGGGGGTCGTAGGCGCGCAGGCTCACCCACGGGGGCGGGGGGAAGAAACCGCCGCCACCCCCCGTCTTCCCTGAGCCAGCGCCCATTACTTGTAACTCGACTACACATGCACACAGAGGGCACGGGCCAGAGAACAGCTCAGTCGGGAGTGTGGTAGGGTCACCGCTGTTCGAGACGTCCCGAGCTATCGCCTTGGCTTTATTGCGCCTACAGCCCTGTATGCGCGTGAAAGGGCTGCTGCGTTCACGTCACGCATTGCTTGTAAACTTCCTCTGCTCTCTAATCCCCCACTCTTCTTTTCACACGCTGTACATTTTGGTAGGCACAAAAAGGGGCCTCACCCACCGCCTTCCCCAACTCTCTTTCTGTGGTGCCAGTGCGGGGAGCAGAGGACTGCAGCGAACGATAACGCCACGGAACAGAAGCATGCTCAGTGAGAGGTTCATTGACGACATGCTGAGGGACAGTCATGCCTGGAGGCGGGCAATAAAGCAGTGCGACGTGCAGGACTGCCTTGCGCCGTCCTCACCGGCAGCGAAAGCAAACATGGGGCCCGTCTTCCGCCGCGGCTGCACAGACAACGTCTGCAGCCTGCGGTTTGTAAGTACTCTGCGAGCCTCTGCGGATGGCCTAAATAGAGGAGCGAAGGAAAAAGCGCTGCGGCAGCGAATGCGGGGGAAGTGGGACCCCAGCACAAGGACAACGAATAGTCAACGCGACCTACTTAGAGAGATTTTGCAACATCAGCTGGAGCTCCATGGGTTTACCACTGCCTACGAGGCGTCCCGCGACGCGGTACTTGAAGAACAGAGACGCCAGGAGGCCCTTTACCGTCAGCAGCGCGAGACAAGAAGACTGTCACAGGCAGCAGCCCGCAATGCAGCGCAACAACAGGAGCTCAGCATGAACGAATCTCACATGCGGCAAAAACTGCGCGACTCGGAGAGACGAAAAAGGGCCTCCATTGCCGCCTCCATGTTCACCGACGCATTTGTCTTCGCCACCAACACCGAATTTGCAGAGAGGCAGGCCATCTTTTATGACTTTCAAGCACAGCACGCCTCCATCGTGAGTGAAGCAGCCAACTCGCTGCAGTCCATCACAGGACTGCCATGCTCAGTCTTCCAGTCACTCGTCGCCCTGCAAAGAAACGAAGCCCAATGCAGGAAGAAGCTGCTGAGCCACCACGCAAAACAGCACGAGTTCCTCAAAACAGAGATGCATCGCGCAATAGACCATCAACTCAAGGCAGAAATTGCACAAGTAATTGCAAAGGAAAAACTTCTTACAAAAATCATACAGCTGTCGAACCAAAAGTAAACAAAAAAAACGCACAGTAAGACGAAAGCATAAACACACACATACAAACAAAAGTAGACATAGAAGCTAAACCAGTATCCAGCACTTTACTACTTTGCCGCACGGTACAACACATTTAAAGAACAAAGAAAAAAAAAACGATTTGCGTATCAGCAGTTACTCCTCATTAAATGCTTAGATAAACTGAATAAGACAACCCCGGCGGTCCGCCAAATGTTTGTTTCTTGCTTTTCCTTGTGTGTCTGCTGCCCCGCACGCACCGTGCTAGGTCTCTTTTCCAAAGTCCCACAACCCCCGTGAAAACCACCCCCGGCGTGCGAGCGGAACACGGAGCACACCTGCTGATGGTCAACCCGTACCTGTGGATTGCCATTGTTGGCGGCATCGTCGCCTTCCTCACCGGATGCGGTGTGGGCATGAACGACCTCGCCAATGCCTTCGGCACGACGTACGGCTCCCGCGTGCTGACGCTGAAGCAGATTGTTCTCCTCGCCTCCATCTACGAGTTCGCCGGCGCCGTATCCCTTGGCGGTGAGGTGACCTCCACGATCTCCGGCGGCATCGCCGACCCGTCAC